TTCTTTCTTTCTTTCTTTCTTTCTTTCTTTCTTTCTTTCTTTCTTTCTTTCTTTCTTTCTTCCTTCCTTCCTTCCTTCCTTCCTTCCTTCCTTTTCTTTCTCTCTCTCTCTCTTTCTTTTCCCTCCCTCCCTCTCTCTATAAATAACTCAAGGTGGAAAACATAGCTAATAAAACCTCCTATTTTTCTCACAACAACCCTGTAAGGTGGATTGGACTGAGAGACAGTGACTGGCTCAAAATCACCCAATTAGTTTTCATGCCTAAGGTGGGACTAGAAGTCACAGGGTCATGGTCATTTAACCACTAGACACCATGGGCAAACCAATGGGTAGACACTGGAGAGTGCAGGCAGATAGGCTGGGATCCTGGGTTGATTAGGGGTTAATGCAGGCGAATGCCCCCTATGGAGTGTGGAGGAGGGGCACTGTGGGCAGGAAGGCAGGGGATGCTAGACAGATATCTGGAGTCTCATACTCCACAGCGGAGTTCCTCAGGAGAATATGCAGTGGGATCTACTTACAAGGGAGACTTGTGAGAAACCCTGCCAGCTTTCCGCTTGATTTTGCTTGTGGGAAGCTGGCAAATAGGAAGGTTGCAAATAGTGATCATGTGCTTGTGACTCAATACAACATTATAATGGAGCCTGGATTGTGATCACATGATTGTAGGGACACTGTGATGACCTCAACCTTGGGGACTGATCATACCAAGTTCCCTCAGTCACAGCTGTTCCAATTTTGAACAGTGACTGAATGAGTGGCTGTAAATCAAGTACTACCTATATTGCCTTGTTTCTCCTTTTTTTGTTCTTTTTTTCCTCTCTCTGTTCTTATAAATAAAGCAAAAGAAAAAGTTGACTAGTGACTGTAAGTATTGAAACTCAAAAATCTGAATGACACCAGGATAAGGAAGACTTTCTGAGGCATTGTGACAGAAAAGTGGGGCGTTCAGAAATAATGTCTTTCCGTAATAGAATCCAGGACACTTACAAGGATCCAATCCCAGTCAGTCACTGGGACCAAAGGTTTATTCTTCCAGGCTTTCAGGGTCATGCTGGAACTCGTCATCAGGGAAGATTGGAAGAATAAACCTTTGATCTCAGTGACTGACTCGACTGGACCTCCAACATTATGCTGGGGACACATATATTTACCTTCATTCGTAGGCTACTTACCTCCAGGGCTTGGCATGAGAGGGGTGCCAGGGGGGCCTCCGCCTCCCTGTGAGGAGAGACACAGAGAGAAATAACGTTCATGATCCTGGGGTTTGCCTTGTGGAGGAATCGTTCTCATCAACCTTAACAACCATGTCTTGCAAGCACATTTATTAGATTCATCTGCCCTTTATCAGGACAGGGGTTCAAAATTTGCCTAGGAAGTCCACCCCACATCTTTTCACACCTCTTCAGCTACTTACCCCGTAGCTGCCAGGGGAAGACGAGGAATAGGATACCTAAACGGGATAGAAAGGAGAGAGCAAAAAATCACCAGCTGGGGACCAGATTTATTTATTTAGCATAGAGGTCTCCAAACTTGGCAACTTTAAGACTTGTGGACTTCAACTCCCAGAATTCTCCAGCCAGCATAGCATAGCTGGCTAGAGAACCCTGGGAGTTGGAAGTCCACAAGTCTTAAAGTGCCAAGTTTGGGGACCCCTGATTTAGCGTATGGCATATCATACATGGACTAGCAATATCAATTAACATTTCATCTAGATTAGTAGAGCACAATAAAATATAAATGTTAAGAAGGTCTTATCTGGGAAGCAGTATGTATCAGGCATTGGCTGCATTTGGTAGGCATGCTTAACCTGGTTACTGAATTAACCCATTTGTGGAGACTCTGCCTAATTTCCTGAATGACAAAGTAAATAAACTGGTTGGGTGTGTGTACCACAAACCGAGACACAAACACTCTGACCAAACATAAATAACATGTTGTGTAGGCGCAGCCACTAAGTTATTTGCCTGCTTGGTGAAGTCTGTTGTGTGAATGCAACCACTGTGACTTTCTGAATTGTGGAAGAGAAAGGTTTATTTAAATAAAAAAATAAACCAGACATACCGAGTTTGTGTTTATATTTGACCAGGATCCTCGAACACCCGGAGCTCTGCAGAGAAAAATGTACAAGACTGACCTCTCAAACATTTGGAAGAGTTCCTGGGGAGGGATGGTGATGTTCCTGTTCTGTTGAAAAGACACACTCTCCCCGATTTCCTTTGGCTACCCCTTCCCAAGATAAATTAATGCAGACACTTACATGTTCATTGTGGCCATACCGGGGCAAACCAGAGACCCTGGAGGAGGTCTTATGCCACCACCATAATTCTGGACGAAGAAAAAGCAGGAAGGGATTAGGGGAAGGAAGAGAAACCGATCGAGAATATTTGATTCCCTTCCCAGTCATTCCTCACCAATTTTACCCAGCAGAATTTATCTATTTAGTACAGAGGTCAGGATCTTTGCATTATTACCATTACAGCTACCACTGATAAGAAACATCACGCCACTATTAAGGGCAATTTTGTTCCTCTAGTTCAGAGGGTGTCAAACTCGATTTCATTGAGGGCTGCATCAGAGTTGTGTTTGACCTTGGGCGGGGGGCATGGCCATGAAGGGTGTGGCCAGCTCAACAGAATAGAATAACAGAGTTGTAAGGGACCTTGGAGGTCTTCTAGTCCAACCCTCTGCCTAGGCAGGAAACCCTATATCACTTCAGACAAATGGTTATCCAATCTCTTCTTAAAAACTTCCAGTGTTGGAGCATTCACAACCTCTGGAGGCAAGTTGTTCCACCGATTAATTGTTCTCACTGTCAGGAAAAGTCTCCTTAGTTCTAAGTTGCTTCTCTCCTTGATTAGTTTCCACCCATTGCTTCTTGCCCTGCCCTCAGGTGCTTTGGAGAATAGCTTGACTCCCTCTTCTTTGTGGCAGCCCCTGAGATGTTGGAAGACTGCTATCTTGTCTCCCCTGGTCCTTCTCTTTTCTAGACTAGACATACCCAGTTCCTGCAACCATTCTTCATATATTTAACCTCCAGTCCCCTAATCATCCTGGTTGCTCTTCTCTCCACTCTTTCTAGAGTCTCAACATCTTTTTTACATCATGGCGACCAAAACTGTCACTCATGTCGGGGGCATCTGTGGTGGCCCGGGCAGGGCTGGGGGAGGAGAATCCACTTTTGCTAGTAGTTTTGTTTTGCTAGCACTCTGCCAGCGAAAATGGAGCCCAGACTGTATTTCAGTTGTGACGGCCTCCTGCAGCCTTCTGCCAGCGAAAAGGGCCACTGCCCATGACCCATGTGAGCTCTGTTTTTTCTGGCAGAGGCCCCCCGGGGCTGGTCCTTTGCTGTTTACAGGGCAGCCCCGCGGGCCAGATCCGCCCCCACAGACCTTGAGTTTGACACCTCTGCTCTAGTTCAAACAATAATTAGCTGTCACTATTTTTAAAAAATTATAAAGGCAGTCCTCGGTGTATGACCACAACTGGGACCAGAATTTCCATTACTAAGAAAGCTGGGTTGTTAAGCGAGTGGCACCTGGTTTTTTTCCCCCTGTGATTCTTTAATCAAAACACCGCCGTTGTTAAGTGAATCTGGCTTCCCTTATTGACTTTGTTTGTTGGAAGCAGCTGGGACGATTACAAATGGCAACTGCGTGACCCCGGGACAGGCGGGACATTGCAACTGTTATAAACATGTGCTAATTGCCAACTGCCCCAATTTTGATCACGTGACCATGGAGATGCTGCGATGGGTAGTGTGAGGACTGGTTGTAAGTCCTTTTCTTCAATGCTGTTGTACCTTTTTTAGATGAATGGTTGTTAAGTCAAGGATTACCTGTATTTTGGTTACTGTTTCACATGGACATTTAAGAACCTGCTTTCATGTTTTCTTCATATTTTACGCTACTTAATTCACTGCCTTGAAGTCTGTTCGCTTACTGTAAGTCACTATCACAGCTTCTATCCCAGAGCAGTAACTCCATTGAATTCTACTGTATAGTGCAATATTAATGCAATATCAGGGGTTTTCAATTCAATGTAGAGAATGTGTGTTTGTGTTTATTTTCAGTCATAATGTACACTGAAGATGATATTTAATTTCGTTGTATGAGGTGCAATGACAATAAAGTAAACTAGACTATGCAAATGTTAATAGGAAGCAGCATACAGGTTTAATATAAATAATTAAAAGGTCAAATAGCAGATTAGAAACATCTCAGGCTAGTTTTTATTTTTTTATTTATATACTTTAAATAACCCAGGAGTCCAGGGTTACATAGGGTGCCCATCAGATTCAGCATCGAACCTTTCTTTATTCTAACTGAATGAAAAAAAGTATGCAACCATTTTAATGCAAATTAAATTGCGGGCTTCAAGAAGTTGGAAAACTCCCTGAGCTTCTAGAACATATTTTGCATTCAAATTGGAATGCATGAGCATATGCGTGCGCACACACACACACACACACACACACACAACCATCACAATCTCATATCAAATAATACTTCCAGAATCCCCCAACTTGTTTCAAAATCTATCCCCCATTTTGGGGAGCTCACCTGTGGAGCCATTCCCGTCATACCCCGTGGTGGTGTCATGCGCTGCATCGGGCCCATGTTAGGATGCCCTACTGGTGGCAAAAGGAGTGGGAAAAGAGGGGAGAATTGGGGAGATCAAACATATTTAAGATGCAACTGTAGAATCAAAGTCTCCAATGAGCCTGGAGCCTCAAAAAAAAAAAAGCAACAATCAAAATAATCCACACATTCAAGCAGTTAAATCAGAGGTGGTATTCAGCAGGTTCTAACCAGTTCTGGAGAACTGCTAGTGGAAATTTTGAGTAGTTCGGAGAACCGGCAAATCCCGCCTCCGACTAGCCCCGCCCCCATCTATTCTCTGCCTCCAGAGTCCCAGCTGATCGGCTGGGTCTTCTTTGGTTGCCCTGCACAGGAGAACGGAGCTGGAAAGCAGCTTAGTGGGGTGGGGTGGGGAATGGGGATTTTGCAGTAACCTTCCCCTGCCATGCCCACCAAGCCACGCCCACAGAACCGGTAGTAAAACTTTTTTTAATCCCACCACTGAGTTAAATCAAGCAAAAGGAACAAGTTCAGATGTTTATAGCATTTGTATTTGCTTTACCAAATGCGACTACATACTGCGTTGAAAGAAATATAGGCAAGGATGTGAAAAGTTCAGAAATATTTCAGAAGCGTTTTGAATTTTTTTTAAAATGCAAATAATTTCTAAGTAAGATACTTTGACATTTATTGATTTGTTTATGAGATGTGTATCTATCTCGTTTGTTTATGAAAAGGATGGATATAGATTCTAAAGAGATGCACCATTCATTTCATTTCCCTGCTTGCAACCATAGTCTCATGTCATGCCAACTATCCACTCATCCCATTTTAACTCACCGCTCACCTTGTGATCGGATTGCTGGATCCATTGCACTGGGCATCAGAGGTTGGCCAGACACACCCATAGATGGCTGTGGGAGGGGGAAAAATCCATGTCTTTTTAATCAGGTAGATTGGGATGCTTATTCACCAAAGAAAGAAAGAATATATATCTACAGAAAATCCAGACATAGTAAACCAGGGGTTCCCAACCACCGGGCCCCGGACCGGTACTGGTCCGTGGATCATTTTGCTGCCTATTTTGCTTGGGTGCCGCCATCTTGTTTCAATGGCGCTTGAGAAAGTGCTTCCAGGTGAGCTTGTCGTCGGTTGGAAAGAGGCGTTTGGGTGCTGAAGGAATCCTCGCACCTTAGTTTTGTCGAAGTGGGGGGGAGGCGGCTTCGAACGAAGAGCTGTCCCAATGGCGGTGGAGTCTCGCGTTACTCAGGAGGAGATTAAGAAAGAGCCCGAAAAGCCCATCGACTGTGAGAAGGTACAAAGGAGGAATTGAAGGTGGCGGGGAGAAACGGGGGACGGCTGGCCGGCCGATCGTTCGGCTCGCCTTGCCTTGGTCCTGCGTGCTGATGCCGGTACCGGTCCGTGGATCATTTGTACCGGGCCATGGTACAAAAAAGGTTGGGGACCACTGTAGTAAACTACTACATATACCTTGGCCAATGAATCTCAGTGGAGGGTGATACAATAAAGGAAATTGAATGGTGTGTTAAATGTGGTTGGTAGGCATCTGGCAAGCTAAGTGTAATTTTCAAGAACAATCTCCTTGTATCCCTGAAGAGAAAAGTTTTCAATCAGTGTGTGCTACCTGTTCTAACAAATGCCAGTGAAACATGGACACTAACCTCACAATGATACTAAAGCTACGAGTGATGCAAAGAGCCATGGGAAAGATACATGCTCGGCATCACAAGACAAGATAAAAAGACCTGCACATGGATTAAAGAACAAACAAAAGTATACGATATCACCAAGAGAATAAAAGAATGGAAATGGGCCGGTCGTATAGCAAAAACAACTGATGGCAGGTGGACCAAGGCAGTCATAGAATGGATCAAATTTGATGAAAAGCATCCAAGAAAGGGACCTAAAACAAGATGGATTGACGACACAGGCAAGTATTACGGGCCCAATTGGCACAAGATAACTAGGACCATATTGATTGGAAACATGCTGCAGTGGATAGACAGTGGCTAAAATATTAGTGATGATGATGATGATATTATGATGCTTATTTACCAGAAGTGTATTTTTAACTAGGACCAGTTTTGGAATCTGTCCATAAGCTTCAGCGGTTGTAAAATTTAGCAACTGGGAACAAATCTGATCCCCAAGTGCAGGTTGGTGACCAAATCATGAACAATTTTCAGCAGCCTATACAGGCTGAATGAAAAGCAACACCTCTAATGTTAAACACTGCCAACGTATGGTAATACTGATGTGCCAGAAGCTCTAACATGTTCCTTATATTGTTCTTTCATTGCAGTTGTCACGAGATTGCTGGGGAAAAGTTGTGATGCAATTGTTTGCGAAATGGCCTTCAAGGAATACTCATCAGTGCACACCATGATAAAATTTTTGATTGATGGAAGAAATCCCTCCAACTGATAAAACTCCCTTTTTATGATCTTGTAATCCCTTAATTAGAGGTAGAATCAGGGTTGAGTACTTCTTGGCTGGATGCCTTTCCTGATGCCACGTGGAATTCACAGCAGATATTTTTTCTTTGTGCCCTAGGAGAGAAACATCTGCCAGCTACCTAAGATTGAACTCTCAACCTTCTGAGTGGGAGGTGAGTGTCATCACCATTAGGCTACCATGCCGCTCAAAGTCCCTCCAACTGATATTCACTGCTAAATGCTTGTTGTTTATGGAGATGCAGTGTTGATATGAGTACGGTGCAAAAAATAAAAAAAATACAGGCTACAAATTGAGAAGAGCTTGTTTGTGTGATGAAAAATAAAGTGAATGATGTGTGACAGTTTACACGAGAAAGACTGAGGAACTAACAGCACAATTGTCAGATCACTCAAAGAGAAACTGCTACTAAGTTTGGCATTTCACAGGAACTTTTACTGTAGGGGAAAAAAAATTCAAATTTCATGCTCCAGAAAGAAAACTCACAGCTACAATTCTTATGATGCAGCTGATTTTATTCACATGAGCTAACATTCCTGAGCTAACATGACTGGAGGAGGAATTCTGGGAGTTGAAATCCACAAGTTTTGAAACTGTCAAGTTTGAAGACCTCTGAACTAAGAGATCCTTAAAACACTGAAGAACCTGAAAAGTGGTCGCTTGTAGAACCTTTTTCACTAATATACTATATCCTACTATGATAATAAATAATATCTTTCCTGCACCTATGTGAAGGCCATTTGTTTGTTTTGGATTTTTCTTTGACTTTTCAGAACAATAAGCAGACTAGAGTGGTCATCCTCTACCTGGTGCTATCAACACACATGGAAAGGTATTAGTTTGGGAAGATCATTATAGAAGGAAGCTAGCATAGATCTTGGAATCTAGATCTGAGACAAAAGAAGGATGAATGGGAGACAGAGAATTATGTAGGTAAGTTGATTGATAGACCTTTGTGTAAAGGCTGTCAGGTCACAGCTGCCACTTGCTATCTACTCCCCAGGCAGGAACTGCAAGTCTAAGAAGATCCCAAAGGGGGAAGTACAACCCATTCAAGACTAAAGGTGGAACATATCCAGATTTGACCAGTCAAATACCTATAGCTTACTGGGTCTTGTCAGAGCTAAACTTGATTCTCCTCATCTGGATCCACATAGACTCCAGACACTGGATCAAGATTTTGAGAACATAATCTAGTTGGCCGAGGTCCAAAATGTAACATGGGCACTATCTGTATAGTGATGATACTGGATTCCAAACAGAGGGTTGATTTGTAGTTCTTTCATGTAAACGTTAAACAGGAGGAGCAGGAGAATCCAGTCTTGATGTCCTCCACATTAGGGGCCTCTACTCTGACCTTCTAGCTCTGCTAGAAGTCATCAGCAGGCACAACTAACGCTGCCTTAGTATTATGTCATAGTTTCAAACAAGAAAGTCTAGATAATCCATTTCCTCCAGGACTCTCCAAAGTTGCAGTTCAACCACTTTCTCAATAATCTTACCTAATAAGGGAAAGCTGGAGATTGAATGAAAATTGTCTAGGAGTCTCATCTCCTTTCAGGCAGGTGGCACCAACTCTCTCAGCAAAGCAAATACACTTCTTTATGGACACATCACCTTCTGGCTATCTTTCAACAGCTTTTTAGGATTACAGTCCCAAGGACCCCGTCTACTGCTTCAAGAGTTGTAAGTTGAAATTCACCCCCAGATAAACATATAACACCATGCTTCCATCGCCTCAGGAAGAATCGTCAAACTCCAAAGGAATCGGAACAACTTTATCCACCAGATGCCTAGAATATTCCTCGGATGGAGAAAGGCAGGCCCTCCTTGCTCCTCCTTTTCTTTCTTAGCACTATCCTCAGAATATTGAAGTGCATGGAAGCCAGCCTCATTGAAGGGAATATTATTTTGCCCATATAGGACAACGCATCATTTTTCATGTTCCTGGTCTATCCAACAAATGAAGAATTATCTAGTGTCTAAACCCATTTTTCTAACATCCCCTGTCAAATCTTTAAATGTGCTCTAATTTTCATCAGTTATACCACTGAATAAGTGGGATTATCCAGGCAACAGTTTGCGGAAAACAAAATTCCGTTTATTAAGACTTCTTAGCATAGAGTTAATTTATAAGGTGCATTGGGGGCATTGCTATGCCATATCATCACAGATGGCCAGACGGGCAGCCAGAGGAAGTATAAGGTGGAAAGCAGAAGTAACTGAATGCTAGATGTCAGAAGGTCCCTGTCAGCCTTCAAGATTTCTTTCCTTTGCTTTGCATCTTTCGGCTGTCATAAGTAACGGGGGAAGGAGGGGTGAAATAGTTGTGGGACCTGAGCTGGTGGTCCTGAGAGAATAAACTGTAATAGTTGTGGGGGAGAGGGGGAATTTCTTGTTTATGTTTCTTTCCCGTGATATGCGCAAGCGCACCTCCTTCAATGGACAGATGCCTGCATCACCACCTGAAGATGACCCACACGACATTACATACAACTTTTGATTTGGATGGACAGTTTGAACTATTGTGGATGGGAACGTTGCCATCACTTTGTATATGCGATTTTCACACTCAATTCCTCAGATTCAGAATTCCTTTGATGCTACCGCTTGATTTCCAGTAAAAGATTTTTTTTCTCTAACGGAGTCTAAGTGTTTCTTTCTTGGATTTTGAATGGAGCACTAGCTGACAGTCCCAGAAATTAAATCATCTTTGGTGGAAAGAGGAAATGAAGATAATCTTCTAATGGAAATGATTAACTTGGGCCATTTACTAACTTGCTATCAGTAAGAAATGGAAAAGCTATACAAATGCTAGAGAATATGACAGGATACCAGAACTGGACTTTCGTAGGTGAAAAGGGAGAGGTGAACTACCCAAAGTAGTCCCCAGAAGAAACTTACCTGGCTTGGCATTCGAACGGAAGGACGGAGCCCACCAGGGAAACGCGAAGGCATGAATGGCTGCAGACGAATAAAAGAGGAGTGAACAGCTCCAAAACGTAGTAAATCGCAGAAGGACTCACACATATCCATGCTTTGGGAAAGGTCAACCTCAAACAATGCAAACTGGAGTGGGTATCTTCATGAGAATCAGTAAAATCGCACCAAGCAAGTTCATGAGATACAGCACATCCTAAAGCTTCTTATCACTAAACCTAATGACTGGTAACCGATTTCCAAGCTTCCAAATGCTTTTCCGGATAATCTGGGAATGCCAGAATTAAAGGCAGGTTACTTTACATACAAAGCCTATACTCTATGGCTTTTCCCCAATTCTGGACATTTTCAGTAAATAATTAAGTTCCTCTGAATTTCAACTGGATTTTTGGTGGAAAACATTTTTGGCCCTCCAGCTATAGCTGAACAATTTCCAGGAATCTCAGAGGGATGCTGGGAGTTGTAGTTCACTAACACTGGGGAGGTCACATGTTGGCCACTGTTTCCTGAAAAGAAGTTCACTGAGGACTAAGAGGTGGAACAATTAAAGGCTGATACCCATTTTAGTTTTCTAATATCATGAAAATGGGTTAAACTTGTCTTCAGATGCCTGCCATAATTCTCTCTGTGCACTCATGGGGTATCTAGAAATTGGCTTGAATATAATTTATTGCAGTCCCAGCAATCTAAATGAGACAAATGGCAACCTGGCAAAAGACTGGCAGCCACCTTTTTCTCTGGTTTATCTTTTACAAGTCCCTCTGTAGTTCTGCTTGGTTCCTTGCCATCCAGGGGTGAGATTCTACCAGTTTGGGCCGGTTCTAGCGAACCGGCAGTTCTGGTGGTCATTTGGCTCATCCACCTGCCCCTGCTCTTTCGATGCAAAATTTCCTTGATTTGGGGCACAGCTGATTTGCGCAGCAGAGAGATTTTGACGTGCCTCAGCTGTTTTACTCACTGGGGCTGCAGTAGAAGGTAAGCATTATAGCTGAAAATGGGCTTTTTCAGATGGCGCGCAGGCGCAAAGCGTGCAATCACCAAACTGGTTGTTACATCGGTTGAATCGCTCCACTGCTGCCATCCCAATTCCTGCCTTGCTAAGTTCAACATGACAACTTCAGAGATGCCCTGAAGGTGTCTCTTTCAACTGGGGTGGTCCCACTGGTATCATTAGGAGAGTGATGTTGTCTCATCTTACGCAGCTGCTGTTGGGCAGCAGTTTCCAACCTTTCCCTTATATATACCACATTGGTGTCATCACTAGCTTTTTAATTTATTTTTAATTTATCTTTTTTTTTTTTTTACTTTTCCCATCTCCTCTACAAGGTGACTTTGAGCAGCTTTTGAGAACCACCTTGACGGTCAGAATTGGAAATGCAGCAATCGCAAAACACCACACACCTATACAATATAATCCCCCATCCAAATGGTTATCAGAAGGGTCCAAAATTAAGTAAAAATTAATTTGATGTAGGGGCAACAACAGAGCATCTCTAGAAGAGCTCGTTTGGTTAGGGTTAAGGCACTGTGCTAGACATTGGAAGACTGTGAGTTTCAGTTCCACCTTAGGCACAAAGCCACCTGGGTGACCTTGGGCCAGTCATTCTGTTCAGCCCTAGGAAGAAGGCAACAGCGAATCAATTCCAACAACTGGCCAAGAAAATAACAGGAACTTTTCCAGGCAGTCATCAGGAATCAACAACGTCTCAAAGGCTTAAATCACTTCAAATCCCAAATGGCCAAAATAGGGAGATTTTTTTTTAATCAATCTTGCAAGATTTTGTATTATATGAAATTTGTGATATTTGGGGCACCCTCTCTCCCCCCCCCCCCCCAAAAAAAAAGAAAGAAAGAAATCTCATGAAGTTTCAAGTAAGGGATCATGGCAATTAAGCAAGATTCTTACAATTTCCAATGTACAATCCTTAACCTAGGATGGTAACTTAGCAATGGCAATCCTTTGCAGTCCGACTATTATTGTAAACTGAATTTTCGTGGTTGTGAGGCAAGGTAGCTTCGTGCCGGCTTCCCGCAATCAAAATCAGTGGGAAAGTCAGCAGGAACTTGAAAAATTGCAGGTCAGCGGTTAGGTAAATGGCTGCTGCCAGATGTGGGGAGGACTGAGGGCATCCACAAGGAGCGCTACACGGGTTGGGGAGGGAGTGCATCACGAGCTGGCAAAGGTGTGCAAGAGGTGCTGCACAGGGAAGGCACGTGGGGATGCGCAAGAAGCAGGGCATGGATCAGGGAGGGTGTATTGAGGTTGCCAGGGGCTGCAGAAAAGTCGCTATCCAAATTGGGGAAGGGCATGTGGGGGTGTGGGGTGCAAGTGAAACCTAAGTGGAGAGGAATTGGGGGAGACTCAACCCAGAGACTTCTGACCTTCCTTGCCAGCTTCCCCACTGACTTTCTGGTGAAGCCAGCGGGAATGGTTGCAAACGTTGATGACATGATTGTGGGGTGCTTGGCAACCAGTGCGAACAGGTTGCTAAGCACCCAGATCATGATAGCATGACCATGGGGGGGTGGGGGTGGGGTGCTGGGACAACCGGAACTCCAAGAACCAGTTGCAATCATCGTTCATTCAGTACCATCATACTTTGGAACTTGGGGGAGAGGAGATGGAATGGATTACGCAGGGAGGAGGGAACCTGGAAACGACATTTCAAGGCAAGGTGATTCTCATATAGTTCTAGAAGGTACAATTCTCTATTCACGGATCACTGAAATCAAGGCTGGAGCTCTGTGGCTGGATCTGCACACAAGAATAAACTACTGGATGAATTTCTACAAGCAGCTGAGCCATATAACATACAGAGTTCACAGAGCATCCTAATCTAAAACAATTCTAGAAAGAAATCTCCAACAATTCTAGAGTACTTCCTTGTGAATAGACCGCAGTTATGGTTTCTTGGTATGGAGTAATGGATTACAATAATCTGTGGTACACCTTCCAAAATACTTGATGTGTTGGGACCAAAATGTGTAAAACAAAAGATACAAATGGCTCAAGATTTGGGGAAAGAATGAGGTCAGATAGCAGAGCACAGTTGGGGCCAATGCCAGTTACAAAAGGCTGCCTCTTTCTCTGGTCTTACCTGATTATGGGGTCCCATCATTGCCGCATTGGGGTTGTGCATGGGAGCTTGAGCATGTAGGGATGGCTGGGAGCCAGGTGGTCCCTTAGGGAAAAAGCAGAAATGTAATTATGGGGAAATAGCTGTGGCTAATTCTCTTCTTCCACAGTAATTTTGCATAAATCCAAGCAACAGGAATGCATGCTGAAGCCTGGGGCCACAAGAAAGGGCCAAGTATTAGGATTACTCCCTAATGCAGTTTTTCTCAACCTCAGCTTCTTTAAGATGTGTAGACTTCAACTCTCAGAATTCACCACCTAGCATGGCTGGCTGGGGAATTCTGGGAGTTGAAGTCCATATATCTTAAAATCACCAAAGTTGAGCAACACTGCCCTAATAGTATGGGGATCCATTAGCAAACAAGCTTCTGTTACAAGATGCAAGAGGAAATGTTATGTTGAAAAACAGGTCTTCCTGTTCTGTCTCTCAACTGACACCTACCAGAGCTCCCAATCTTATAACCGCAGGGTTGCCACAGTTCAAACCTGAGCTACAAATAGCCTCTTCCATTGCTACTTATAACTGCCTCTGTTTAGAGCAGAGGTCTCCAAATTTGGCAACTTTTAAGACTTGTGGACTTCAGCTCCCAGAATTCCCCAGCCCGCAGAGCTGGCTGGAGAATTCTGGAAGTTGAAGTCCGCAAGTCTTAAAGTTGCCAGGTTTGGAGACCCCTGGTTTAGAGGCACAAGAAGGCCCTGCTAATTACACACAGTTCAACTCATGCAGTATGTCATTTTTAGTGTAGTAGTCCTTGACTTACGACCGCAATTGGGACCAGAATTTCTAATACATGGGTGTCAAACTCGATGATGTTTTTTGCCTTTGCGGAGCCGGTGTGGGAGTGGCCTGTGTGTGATGCATCTGGCCCGCAGGCCACCAGTTTGCCAGGCCAGTTCTAATGCCAAGCAAGGCAGTCGTTAAGTGATGCATGCCTAATTTTATGGCCTTTTTTTTTTTTGGCAATAGATATTAAATGAATTACTGCTTTTATTAAGTGAATCATGTGGTCATTAAGCACATTGGTTGTAAAATGCATTCAGCTTCCGCCCACTAACCAGGTTTGTCAGAAGCAAATGGAGATCACATGACCCTGGGATGCTTCAAATGTTGTAAATACATGCCAGTTGTCAAGCATCCAAATTTTGGACGCACGATCATGGGGATGCTGTGACAGACATAAGTGTGAGGACTGGCTGCAAGTCACTTATTTCAGGGCCACCGTAAATGTGAACGGTCACTAAAATGAATAGTTGTTAAGTCAAGGACTATTTATAAGGTAAGCATTCCCAATCAAGTTTCTGACAGTGTCAAAGGTAGACTGCCTTTGAACATGGAGGCTCTACCAAGATGACGGCAAGTCCTGCAGGATGCTTAGGGTTCAGCAAAGGTCCCTTTCCTAGTCTATTTGTGGTGGCCCGGGACATGGCACAAGGCCAACACAGTCACATAAGTAAGAAGAGTGTTATCTCCAACTGTGCCCCCAATGTCCAGGTTACCTTTGGCTGGAGAAAGACTCTCCCAGGAACAGCCTTTAACTGGAGAAAATTCAGTCCAAAACAAGGTACATATAGACTGTAACTAAAAATCCAAACAAACCAAGCTGCAGTAATTAACTTGACAGGGCAGGAGAAGGACTTTCAAACTTGAAAGCACGGCAAAACTCACAGAGTTTGGAAGACGCCAGGAACCCAGATAAGGCACAACAATACCAGATCAATTCATGATTTGATCCCAACAGCTTGCTGCACGCAACTTCCCTTTTTAAACACTGTGTTCCCAGCTGCAGCTAATGAAGGGAATCAGGGCCCTTTCCTCCCCCATAAGCCACTCAACTCACATTACTCCCTTCTCCGTTCTTCCCTGCATGCCTAGGATAAAGAGGGGGTGGGCCTGGGTCTTCCTCTGAATTCTCTCTGCCCTGCTCTACCTCTCCCCTGCTCTGCCCAGCTGGACTTTGCCCTTCCCCAGTTTCTTCCACAGCCAACGGAGACACACTCCCACTCCCTGTCAGCTGCTCAGCCTCCCTCTCTGAATCAGATTCTGACAGGGGCATGACAAACAATTCCCACCTGGAAAAAGCCTGACAACATAGGCCCACTGATGGCTTCACTGGGCGGCAGGTTGGCCATCACAGGACTGGTCGTAGCTGCGGAGCTCTGTGGAGAAGAGGGGAAGAGGTCAGAATTGACGGAATCTCATGTTTTCCCTGCCCTTTTCCCATTGTGGACCAGCACAACCAGCCACTCCAGCAGGGCTGAGTCTTGGGCAGCAGAGAAAAAAATCTGCAAGTAGTGGGGAGTTGAAGTTCTTTTTCAGGACTTTCTGAGCCACAGCAGCCAGAGTTGAGATTTGTGAGATTTGTGCGCTGCGGAGTGAGCGAACGATCGAGCTGCATTTTCTGATTCAAGGCAGGCATTCATTGGGAGCCAACTTGGCTCCAGGGGGAGCTGTTAAGACGGCAGGAATTTTCTGCCTTTTTTTTTTTTCCAGCCTGGCCCCTCACGCATTGTCTCCACTCCAAGTGGTTTTAATTTAGAGGGGGGTGGTGAAGGACTGCAGCCCCCGCCCCCCCATCTCCACAGGAGGCCAGCTAGAACACAGTATTCAACACTGCTGCTGTTGCTTCGAAAGGCAGGCAGAGAAGATGGCCCCGGGATTTTTGCTCCCCGCTGCCATTTCCAAATAATTTAGTGCTTCCTCCAAGCTGGGGAGGTTGGGATTGGCTTAGAGAACAAGGAAAAACCAAGTCAGAGTTCAAAATAGCTCTTGGCTGCCTTCCCTGCCCCACAGCTGTACAACCTATCCCTTATATGAGTGGCGGGGGGCGGGGAGGAGAAAGGACAGGCACAATCTTTGGCAGGGAATATGGACTTAGGCAACAGACAACTGATGTCTGCAACCTGGTGCCCTTCAGACACATTGGGACTACAAAATCCCTCCTCCACCAGATGCCAGCCAACATGGCCTTGTTAACTGGAAAAGCCCCAAATAGGCCAAACTGGAGAAGGCAGGCAAACAGAGAACAATTCTCCCTGGAGGAATTTCGTATGTGGAGCTCCGCATCATTGACTTAGAGTTCTTCCCCTTCCAGACGTTTAATCCTTTTATAATCTGCCCTTCATGGACTGAATGACCTCCCAAAATTTCAGGAGTCCGTCATCTTTCAGTGCCTGGAAAGACCTCGTAGGCAGGCTCACAAAATGGCTGCCTTGAAAGCTGATATTACTTAAATCTCTGAAATGCATGCTCTGGGGATAAACTCAGTCAGTAAACACCCACTTCCCCCAACACCAACTGAGGCTCAACGGCAAGGAATTCAGGCAATAAATTAAAATCAAAGCAAACATGAGAGAACAGAGTAGAAAAATATTGTATTGCATATTTGTCCCCATCAAAAAAAGCCTCTAGATCCATTTCTGAAAGGATAAACTGTCAGCCAGCATGTCTGCTGGAAAAGAGGTGTCAAAAAGTCAAGATGGTGGCCATAACTGTGCAAACAAAACCCGATCAGTTTTTTACCTGAATGTATAGAGTGGGGCTTTGACTGCACGGTTGTGGGTGCCACCTTGACTTTTTTGACCCCCCCTCCTCCACAGACATTCATGCTGGCAGTAATCAGATAAATAATCAATCTGGAAGCCCAGCAGAAAAAATACCACACAAATCTTCCTCTCTCTCTCATCAAGAATTTAGTTCAGCTCAACCAAGGCTTTATTCAGAGGCAGATGGACATCTAGGCTATTTGGCTACACATACATGATGAGGTTCCTTTGCTGGCCCTGAATAGTTTTACATGAAGCCATGATTTGCTTAATTGCAGTTGCTGAATATATCAAATGATTTCAGTTCACAAATCATGCTAGGCCACAGAGATGTGTCAACCACAATAATTAGTCTACGTCTACTAGTTCCGAAACAGAGAAAGTTTTCTGGTATTTAGGTGACACTCTATGTGCTTGAATGTGTTTTAAGCATGTGTGCTTAAAACATATAACGGCCAGAATATTGTGAGGCTTGCTCTAAATCTTGTTAAGACTTCATAAAAACGCTTTTGTGGTCCTTTCAGAATCAATCTCTATGAACATAAAAACTGAGGATTATTTTACATTCCAAGGAATTTTTGGAACCACTTGAACACCATATTGATCATGCAGGAAGGAGATCGGATTTGGCTTGGCTATCAGCAAGAACAATCATTCATTAGATTTATACCCCGCTTTGTCCATGAGTTGAAGGCAAGGCACCTATGGATCTGCCTTCGCTATTATCCACACAAAACTATGTAGATGGGGTTCAGTGTGCCTACTCAAAGCCTCCCAATGAACTTCCAGGGCGGAGAGCAGATTTAAAACCTGGCTTTTCCTATTTGTCATCCGGCATCTTATCCTCTGTATCAAACTTAATGTATACTGCTACCTTTCCCCCAGATTAATACAGGCAATCCTTGACCTATGACCACAATTGAGCCCAACATTTCTGATGCTAAACGAGATAGTTGTTAAGTGAGTTTTGCCCCATTTTATGACCTTCCTTGCCACATTTGTTAAGTGAATCACTGCAGTTGTTAAGTTAGTAACAAGAGTTGTTAAGTGAATATGGCTTCCCCACTGACTTTGCTTGTCAGAAGATTGCAAATGGGGATCCCATGACCCTGAGATGCTGCAACCGTCGTAGATACTAGTCAGTTGCCAAGCATCTGAATTTTGTTCATGTGACCATGGGGATGCTGCAATGGTCGTAAGTGTGAAAAAACGGTCATAAGTCACTTTTTTCGATGCCATTGTAAATTTGAACAGTCACTAAACGAATTATTGTAAGTCAAGGACTACCTGTATATGGCCAGGCTGGAAGGATAAGCTAGCGAACGCAGCCAGCCACCCATTGTACTCTATGGCCATGCAGGTTGTTGAGGACTGTGTGTGTGTGTGTGTGTGTGTGTGTGGAGGTGTATTTCCATCACTGAACATTAGTCATTTGCTATGCAGAGAGTTCCTGCAGCGCTCCCTGAAATATTGATATAAGTGGCACACGGCCAGTTTGTGGGCAACATCTAGGACAGTTAACCCCTGCTGGCCTGTGGGCAGAGGGAGAGGTGGGCAAGGCCAAGGGCTGCTGGCCTCAGCATGTGTCAGAAGAAAGGTGGTCCAAAAAGAATGCGGTTCCCATGGAAACAGGCAGGGAGGAGAGCTGGATGCGTGGTACAGCACCGCGTGGCCACCTAGCAAGGAAAACAGCAGAAGCAAACGCCGCATGACTCCTCTTAGGCAATTTCTCGCTCACAAAGGATCCAAAGCTTATTCTCCAGGGGAGTGATGGGAGGGGGGCACACACACACACAGAGAGAAGAAGGAATAAGAGAAGGGTTTGAGTCTAGAAAATTAAAATGTAATTTCTCTTTTCTGTCTCTGTTTCCGTCTCTCTCTTTCTCTCTCTCTTTCTCCCCCTCCCAATTTTATAGACAATTAGACTGAATTTGAATGCAAGCATATTTTGGTGCATTTTTATTTCTAAACGAAAGCATTTTCGTTTCTCATTTCCTCTTAACTGAATCAAAATGTTATACCTTAATGAATCCAATTATGGATTGAAACAAATAAATAATTGGATCTTGTTCAATTCTTTGGTTTTACTACTGTCTGTTTATCTTCGAAGTCTTGGGGCTAAACCTGTGTTTAATAGTGTATTTAATAATGCCTGCTTAGCTTAGCTTCTAATTAGAGGCTGTTCTGTTCTTTTTCTTCCTCAGATACAGACTATTGTAGAAGAGCTGAACATCGACAATGAAATAACTGCATTTCACTCTCGACAGAGAGGAAACGACTCTCTTATACTGACACTATAGCAGTCAGTCCTTCCCTTGATTTAAATCTTATATGTAAAAATTAAAGTACCTTTTAGACTACAATTTAAAACAGGTGTGTCCAACCCACAACCCATGAGCCACATGCAACCCTGGACAGCTAGTAATATGACCCCACAAGATAAAAATTGAAGGAAGTTTGTTATTTGTGTACATTCACTATATTATATATTTTACATGTGACCCAAGACAACTCAGTGTGGCCCAGACAAACCAAAAGGTTAGACACTCATGATTTAAAAGCTTTCCAAAAAGGCGGCAGAAACATTCAAAAACTTCACAGACATGTTGTATTTAACTATATACTATTTAGGAACATGGAGGTTCAATTTTATATAATGAATAACAGCCATTCATATACCAGCTGGCCCATTAACAGGGCACAATGGGACAGCCTACCTCTATTAGTTATTTCTTAATGACTGGTATTTATATTGCTTGTGAAATACTGACATCTAATCAGATGCTATGAGAAAAAGTGCTGGGTTGCTACTTTTTCTAGAACCAGGGCAGATTTTGTATAAATGGTAGAGAAACATTTGGGAAGCTCTCATTCATTGCCCTGTCCTGATCAGTCACCATCACGATGGGCATTTCTACCTTCAGGTGTGACTCACTATTATTTACTCCAGGCGAATGGTTATTGGGCTGTAGAACAAAAGAGAATATGCATGCAAATCATCTTGAAATGTTGAGTGGTGATCAAGGATTGACTGGTGTTTGATTGTACTGCCTTAACAGATTAACAGAGTTGGAAGGGACTTTGTAGATCATCTAGTCCAACCCCCTGCCTAAGCAGAAGACCCTACACCATTTCTAACAGAGGCAGTCCAGTCTCTTCTTGAAAGTTGCCAGTGATGAAGCTCTCACAACGTCTGAAGGCAAGCTCTTACATTGATTGTTCTCACTGTCAGAAAATTTCTCCTTATTTCTAGGTTGAATCTCTCCTTGTTCAGTTTCCATCCATTGTTCTTTGCAGACAAGGAGTGCTTTGGAAAATAGCTTGACCCCTCCCTCTCTGTGGCAGCCCCTCAAATATTGGAATACTGCTATCATGTCTTCTCTGATACTTCTCCTACATCATCCACGTTGGGATTGGTAGGATGTCTGCAGTTTGGTATCACGACCATCGGGCTAGAGCAAAGTCCCTTGTGCTCAAAATATGGCTGAAATAGAATTCGTTTATGGGTTGTTTCAACCAGACACCTTGAATATCCCCAAGTGAAATGCTTTCACCTCTCTTCAAATTGCTTTCACCTCTCTTTCACTACATTCACTTTGGTCTCATTGAGGAGGCCCTCCAAAGTCCAAATCACACAGCATCTGAACGACCATACACATGATTGGCATCAGCCCCACAGACTATACTCACATAATCATGGAAAGCTTTGGCCTCACTTGAGTGCTCGCAGGTCTCTCGCCGATCAGGAGCTGCACAGTACAGGTCCCAAAACACACTATGGGATAGCAAGGGAACAAGAAGAAAGAGAGGCATCATTAATATGGATGTCATGCCCCTGTCAGAATCTGATTCAGAAGGGGAGGCCGAGCAGCTGACAGGGAGCGGGAGTGTGGCTCTGTTGGCTGTGGAAGAATCAAGTCCGGCTGGGCAGAGCAGGGGAGAGGTAGAGCAAGGCAGAGGAAATTCAGAGGAAGACCCAGGCCCACCCTCTCTTTATCCTAGGCACGTAGGGAGGAACGGAGAAGGGAGCAACATGAGTTGCATGGCTTATGGGAGAGAAAAGGGCCCTGATTCCCTTCATTAGCTGCAGATGGGAACACAGTGTTTAAAAAGGAAAGCTGGGCACAGCAACTTGTTGGATGCAAATCAGGAGTTATCTGTTATTGTCGAGGCTTATCTGGGTTCCCGACATCTTCCCAACTGTGTGTGATTTGTTGGCCTTTCAAGACTGCAATTCCTTATCCTGCCCTGTCAAGTTAATTGCTGCAGCATGGTTTGTGTGGATTTTTATTTACAGTTTGTATGTACTTTGTTTTTGGACTGAATTTTCTCCACTTAAAAGACTGTTCTTGGGAGAGTTTTTTTCTCCAGTCGAAGGTAACCTGGACATTGGGGGGCAAAGTTGGGAGGTATTAAAGGGACTCTTCTTACTTATGTGACTGTGTGGCCTTTGTGCCACACCCCGGGTCATCACAATGGATTTGGGAACTTTAGGAAAAAGATGCCAGGATAAAAAGAACTTAAAGCTCTCCATGATTTCTTTGCATCCAGATTTATTTAGTGTCACTTGTGGTCCTCCAAATGTTGCCATATTTCCCTGGCTATGGCGAAGCCGTTGAAAGAAAAAGCTCTAGAAAACCACATGCTAGACATCTATAACTTAACTAGGAGATCCTAGAAGAAATCTGGACTGGTGGCAGGTAGATTATTTGCTTTCACAGATTAGATCACTGATTTGCCCAGCTCTGATCAAGAATGTTGATTCAGGTTCCAGGAAGAGCAGCTTCTCCCAACAGGTTTAACTGAAATGCTAAGGCCTTGATGTGGAGCCTCCACATAAAATTGGAACCCAACCAAGATTATCAGCTAACCAAGGCACAGAAGCAAATGTTTGTAATTACAGGCAATGTAACCCAACAGAGATTATCTTTCTCCAGACTCATTTTTGCAAATTAAAAGTTTACACAACTTCCTAAAATCTGAAGGAATCTGGTAGCACCTTTTCAGACCAATGTATTTTGTTAAAACAAAACCTGTTCGTCTAAAAGGGTGCTATCAGTCTCCTAATTTTTGGCTATCCCTGAGGAACAGCTCTGTTCCCACAATGACAATATCCTTTACACACACACAGACATACACACACACAAAACCTCCTATGTAATCTGTTTTCTAGACTCCGAAATATACCGAACCAACCTAAGCAAATGGAACGACTCACATCGTGCCCTGTTACCCCAATGTTAAACCTAACACAGCTCATTATGGGATCTGAACGCTAAATGCTTTAACTGATCTCCTTAAGAATTTTTTTTTTAGAATGTAGCCAACTAGACTGAGAATTGTGCTTAATGAAAGGTCAGGGGCATCCTCAGGGCAGGGCAAAAAAGTCAAGACTGAAACTATGATATACATAAAAAAGGAACAGGGTTCCAATTAGGAGAGTAATCATCTTGATTTTTTTGACAACTCCTACAGATGACCCTGGTCCAGCAAACATAGTGCTTTCATGAACTGACACCAGCCCTGGGTAGACAGTAGTTTTGAGCTCAAAATACATCCAATTGGTGATTCTATAGCAGAATTTAAATCAAAAGTGAGTCACTGGAGCTGTGATATCACTGAAAGCACTCCATGAGGGACATGAGTGGTTTCTATCATTAATTCCAAGGAGCAGGAGAAGGAGAAGGAGGAGGAGAAGGAGAACAAGGAGGAGGAGGAGGAGGAGAAGGACAAGGAGGAGGAGAAGGAGAAAGAGGAGGAGGACAAGGAGGAGAAGGAAGAGGAGGAGGACAAGAAGGAGGAGGAGGAGGAGAAGGACAAGGAGGAGGAGGAGGAGGAGAAGGAGGAGGACAAGAAGGAGAACAAGAAGGAGAAGAAGGAGGAGGAGGAGGAGAAGGACAAGGAGGAGGAGGAGGAGGAGAAGGACAAGAAGGAGAACAAGAAGGAGAAGAAGGAGGAGGAGGAGAAGGAGGAGGACAAGAAGGAGAACAAGAAGGAGAAGAAGGAGGAGAAGGAGAAGGAGGAGGAGGACAAGAAGAAGGAGGAGGAGGAGGAGGAGGAGGAGGAGAAGGAGAAGAAGAAGGAAAAGGAGAAGGAAGAAGAGGAGAAGGAAGGAAGGAAGGAAGAAAGAAAGGAAGAAAGAAAGAAAGAAAGAAAGAAAGAAAGAAAGAAAGAAAAACAAAGTAAAGGAAGAAAAAAAGAAAAGAAAAGAAGGGAGGGAGGGAGTGAGTTGTGATCCTCAGCACCTCCAGAATGATTATCTAACTTTAATTTTTAATGCAACAGGAGGACAGAATGGTTAAATAAATGGCTGGAAAGTATTATTACTTACATTTAATTTTAAATACATAAAGTGAAAGCTGATTTTTTTTTTTTCAGAGCATAGGACTGTCTTGTACTACCCAAAGGGGACATACAGCTTTTGTTTGGGCCAGAAAAAAAAACAACTCTCCATCTCACATCAGAATGCCAGAAAAAGAATATCTGTGCAGAAACTGCCAGAAGACACCAGCAGCTGCCCCTTAGCTACCAGATGCAGAAGCTGGGCAGTCAGCTACTGTTAAGAGAATGAAATGCAATTTCAGAATGAAATGAAATTTCATCCCTCCCTTTGAAGATACATACTCTCATCTATTTCTCCCAACTTCATCTTGTAATCCAACAGGTCAGACAGGTTTACAAAGGACACCACAATCAACCAAACTATTGGGCTGATATCAAACTCCCTGGCCAGGGTCATGAGCTATAGATGCGGGCACCATGGGCTCCCACCCAAACGCTAACAAAGCAAGGCTCTGTCTTTGGATGAGGATCTGTCTTTTTGTAGCTGTGCAGATGCCCCAAGCCACCCAGTGGCCAAATGCCCACTTAACATGCCTTTGACCTTCTCCCTCTAGCTTCTGAAGGGTTAAGCCCAGCAGCCTGGATCCTCTCCTTGCTTGTTTCAGCCTCCAATAAATCAGGCTGCTTGTTGGGTTTCTGGGAAGCAGTCCCCTGGCCCCATGGGAGAGGAATCACGTGATCTCCGCTGCTGCGTGGGGCCTCTCCCCTTGTGGTCTTTCTGTCTTGGCGGAGGTGGTGGGGGGGAGGAGCATAACTATCCCCATAGTGTCTGCCAAGAATGCAGAGTTGCCAAGAATGTTTAGAGGGACAAGGAAAATTAGCCATGGACCTGGAATTTCTATCTCGCCATCAAGCATATGTATCTATAGATTTATACATGCAGACTTTGCTTTGGCCATGATTCTTGCTGTAAATTTAAAAGGTCGAGGAAGACTTGCTCATAAACTACACCAAACGACGGTTAAATGGGGCCGTACCAATTGTAATTGCATCCTATTGTGGAAAACCCAGCAACTGTCTTAATATGTTGTAGAGGATCCATTGTCCTTTTGAGCCATCGTTTTGTTTTTCTGTTGGGAATCGCTTGTTACACAAAACGCGTTTCCCTAACCTGCATTTAAGGTGTTGTATGACCAAGCCATTCTGCCACCATGGGCAGGTAATTTGTTTTTTTTTTTTGGGGGGGGGGAGGTACACCAGAATGAGGTTTAATTAATTAATTAAATGTATATGCCACCCATGTCTCCTAAAGATGAACTTTGAACTAATCTGAACTATTTCTGAAAAAGAAAGGCGAACAGGGACTGATGCCCAAGATCAAAACGATGTGCTAGACAACTATTAACATCTTGTCCCAAAGGCGCTTTTGTCAAGAGGCAACAACTTTCTGGTTTTTCTTTGAAGATGTTTCGCTTCTCACCCAAGAAGCTTCTTCAGCTCTGACTGGATGGTGGAGAATGGAAGGATTCCCATTCGGTCAGAGCTGAAGAAGCTTCTTGGATGAGAAGCGAAACGTCTTCAAAAGAAAAAAACAAGAAAGTCCAGGTGCCTCTTGACAAAAGCACCTTTGAGACAACCATGAACTGGATGACTGAGAATCTCCATAGATATTACCATCCTGCTTCTCGGTTGCTAACAAAATCAGTCCCACTTCCAACCTTGAAAATTAGCTCTATTATCCAAAAAGAGTTAGTGGGGGATTAGTACATACGATACCTGGGAAGCCCCATTAAATTCACCTGGGCTTACTTCCTGGTATACGAGCCCAAGATTATTGCAACCATTTGCATGTGAGGTGGCTTCACTGAATTTTGCAGGGCTCATTTCCTAGACTATCAGCTGTTTTGCTGGGATTCTGCTGAAACAAATATGTACCTGCCTTGAAATAAATTTGTTCATGACCAAAATGACAAAATAGTGCATGCAGCAACTTGTAATTTCATATACCAAATGAGATTGCTAGAAGGAAGACAACTCTTTCTTTCCATTTCTTATTGCAGTAACAAGGATCACAATAACCTAAAGGATAGGCTATCTCGAAAGCTCGCCTCACTTAAAATGACATGGGGCAGTGGGAGGAGAGGAATTTTGGATTTATCACCCAGAAGGCTAATGCTGCCAATGAAGACTGATCAAATTGCAAGCAGGAAAAGGGGGTTTCTGTGCCTGCTTTTATTCCCGTGTGCTTTTGGGGAAAAAAAGATGTGATTCATTTTACAATATTTATCACTTGAGCCAGTCCTGATTCTCTGGGCAGGATACAATAAAAACAGAGCAAAAATGCAAATTTAATTTAAACAATTTAAAGAATATAATCTAAAAACATCTGCAAATATTTAATCTAATCTAATCTAACCTAACCATTGAACATGTACTGAAACTAAATTACTTTGACTTGTTTACAAAATGCCAGCAAGTTCAGAAACATCTGTACCTTTGAGAGAAAGTATTTCTAATATGGGGGCCACCACTGAGAAGGCCTATCACATGGTCAATAAGGCCTGTACTTTCTAAGGAAAGCATTCCTGCAACAGATTCTCTTTGGAGAACCACATAGGAGAAGCAGTTTTAATTCTAACAAATTGTTGCCCAAATATCCTGGTGTTGCTCCACAAAGCATAATACAAAATATGTCTGAATATATATGTGATGCCATTTTGCTGTACAGAACAGCATTTAGTGCTCTGAATACACTACCAGAAGAAGCCTTTCACTCTTGACTGATCTCATCTATTGAGGGTGATCGATAGATGGGATCTCATCCTTCTTAAATGGTTTGAAAAAATAAAGGTAATTCTTGTTTAGTGATCACAACTGGAACCAGCAACTCAGCTGTTAAGCAAAGTGGTTGCTAAATGAAACCATGAATGTGCTTTCGATCTTACTTCAGTTTTCCTTAGCTTTAAAGACCCGTAAAGACCTAGTCATCACCATTGTAATCAGTCACTAAACAAGACACTCATTAGATGAGGACTACCTGAATTTCATTCCCGTAGTTGAGTTCCCTTTTGATCCTATCTAGAATCAATGGGGGGTGGGGGAGGGAGAGGGAGAGAGAGAGAGAATGAGAATATACTGTAGATATTCTTGGACAGAGAACCAATAATTGAGGAACTGCCAATGAAGATTTGGCATGTAATAAAACTATACTTTGTTAACTACTGTCTATTATATATACAGACATACATACCTATGTGCATGTGTCTTTGTATGTAAGTGAGTTTACAATGCTTAATCCCTTAAACCAAATACTGTATATATTTTGCCACAAACAATAAATTAGATGCCAGGAGGAAGATAAATACCTTGCAATGCATATGACATCGGGCAGGTAAAGGAAAATCTAGTCATTTCAACAGTATATCTGTGCATTTTTGACACTTTTAATGAACCGTCTCTTATTATACCATGATGCTGCCAAATCTTATTGCTCTAATGTCCCTTGATCCCAAACTCTGATTCTCATGAAGGGCAATAGAGAACTATGCCACCAAAAAGGAAGATTCAGAGAGAAACAGAGAGGAAGGCTAGAAAGAAAGAAAGAAAGAAAGAAAGAAAGAAAGAAAGAAAGAAAGAAAGAAAGAAAGAAAGAAAGAAAGAAAGA